ATCTAAAGACTGGCAGGGTTATTACGTCAAAAAAAAAAAAACGATGAAATGTCAACTTGTTGACTAAGTAGGCGAGTGTGCAAATAGTTCATTCCGCACTTGCTTTAAGTAAGTTTGAAGTGAGCGACAGCTAGTTTCTAGTTGACGTCTTGTAAGAAAGCCTACATAACGTCAAAAAAACCGACATAATGTCACTTTTCAAGTTACGTGGAGCGCTTGACAATATGAAAAACCCTGAAAATGAATGCACTCACAAACTTGTTTGGCAAATGTCAACAGTTGTCAAAATTTGATATCATTTCCCAGTGAACAAAACCACGCCCGCTTTATCTCAACGATTCTACTCCTTCATTTTAAAAAATATGGATCCTGGACTATGAGTCCATCGTACTGGCAGGCGATAGCGATACACACACACACATATAGCACCAAAGATAAACGACGAAGTGCACATTGTGAACTAATCACTTTATAGTCGTTTGTTCCCTCCGAGAAATTACGTTTTAACAGTTTTATTACCGCTAATAAAAGACGAAAAAGTGCCTGGTACTACTTAACTCCTAGCTCTATCAGACATTTTCTTTACTGAACGAATAGGCTAGAGGCAGTTTAGTTTGTTTATTTAAGGTAGCTTAGGTGGAGATTTCAGCATTTGAAAAAATGACGTCAAGTCAGTTTGAACCTGCACGCAACGTTCTCATTAGTTTTTAAACCTTTCTGACATACAATTGAGCTGCGAACATGTATAACAAAAAATTGAATTACCCCCTCTCCCTGAGAGCGATTGTTACCTAAGTTTTAGAAAATAAAGGGAAGTTATCGAAGACCATATTTAGTTTTTTGTTATTATCATGGATTGTGATAAATAAACTCATATTGATTCGAATTTCGTATATTACCCAACAAAACGTACAATTCGGCAACACTGCACAGTATTTGTCATATCTGTCAAAAAACATTCTCAACTGGGAGTTGTTTCCATTTTCCAATAATTCAGTATTGACGTAAAAACTTTAGTTTTGTTGAAAATAGGCAAAAAAAATGTCAAGAATTTTCAGACATTGCAAAGAACACAACACAACACCTTCACATAGTTTTTGGGCAGTATCGTCGGTCGTTCCTAATTGTAGGGGGCCTCCTTGATTTTCATAGTCTTTTCTCTCCTTTAGAAAGGCTTTCTAGGTTTCTACTGCTGTCAGCGTCAGCGCTTTCTAACGATTTTATCCAATGTTCCGAAAAAGGAAAAATAAAAACTTACTAAATACTAAATACGTTGATTATGAGTGTCGCAACACACCAGCATCCACCTTCGAATTTTGAAATACTTGTGAGTGGGGAGTTCAAAAGTTGATCTATTTTTTACGACATCTACAGAGCATAAACGTCTTGTCGATTCTGTTAACTACTTTGTAAATCTGTTTCCACAAAAGATCGTCCATCAAATTGTAAACCATCCAGCCTTTGCATATTATCACGTTTCCAAAATGAAGACCTGCACATGCGGACCATCTGTGAGTAGATATAATGACTGTTTCCATACCTTAAATTTACATTTTCGTATTCTTCTGGGTGTCGGGGGTTGCCACTCATAATTTATTCTGAGGAAGATGGCCATAAATTTTAGGTTGTTTGTGCTTTTCTGTTATGGTAATTCAGACGGCAAACGGGAAATATTTGCTATGGGTAAAGCTTCGGAGACCATTGTTTGGTTTTATAGTGTATGCCTTGTGTATATTTATATATCAAACGCGTGTTTGATTAGAAAATATTTATGCTGGGAGTGTGATGCGAATAATTATTCATATTAGTTTTGCTAATTTCAGATATTAGACAAGTTCCTTCGTGAGTCGTGATAGACCTTTTTGTACTTTTTTATGCGTTGCACGTGTAGTAAGTAGGTCCGCAAAAACGGATTTTGCCCATTATACTACTTTTTGTTATATACTTTTCTCCGCATGATTATTTTCTCTTTATAGATCCTTTGGTACCACAGCATGTGGCTATAACAGGCCGTGTGGTTGTGGTTAGATATCTCCTTGAAAATTCGAGATCTTCTGGCCATTTTATACTACAATGTGTAGGTTGGCTCTTGTTGTGGACTTCGTGTGGGCATGTGTATCTACTTTGTAGTTACATATGTGCATTCATTTCGGGCCTGATGAAGCCAATCAGCAGAAATACGTATCGCTCGGGTTACTATTTTCTGCTCGAATCCACTTTCCTCGTTTTTGCGGATATTAGGAGTAGATCTGATCAAAAGAAATGTTTTTTTCCTTTACCATTTTTCTGGTAAAATTAAAGTAACAAAGTTATAGCCCTTTGGAAGTTTGAGTACCGCCCTGTCTCAATAATAATATTATGTGCTCGTGTTTGGCAACAACGGATATAATCCGCCTTATCGGTTCATCGCATCGGAAACAAAAAAGCGAAAGCAATTATTTTATTCAGTTGTATACAGTCAGTGTCAGTCGGTAACGCGTGAGTGAATAGTGGTGTCTGTTGCGTGGCTCAAACGAAATAAAAAATGGCACATGTTTATGCGGATCGGTTTCCCAATCGAGTGCAACCAACCCCTCGTGCCTTTGTTAATGTAGTACAACGGGCTCGTGAATCAGGTGACTTAAGACCTCACAGGGGACGGCATGCCGGTGCTCCAAGACCTCACGATCAATACATACTTTATAAAACAAGGTAACATTTTTTTTTAATTTTTCTTTTTATTTTTACACACATATTTTGGTTTATCTTCCTTCTACAATCATTATCTGAAAATTAGTGACTCAACTTCAAAGTCTCCCTGTATATATATATATATATATATATATATATATATATAAAATAAAGCTTAAGCCTTTTGTTGGGTAAAATTCAATCAAAGAGGACTCTTTATACTTTATTAGTCTCTAGCTTTCAATGGACTTTGCCATCTTCATCAGGAGCTGCAATAACATTGAGAAGAAATAGCAACTATAGTGCAAAATGATTTTAAATTAACTTACAGTCATATGTGAGATTGTTGCTAAATGTTATTAAGGTTTAGATTGAGGGAAACAACCAGTAACCTGGTGAATGCTGGTTACATGGTACATTCGTCAAATTAATATAAACTACACACAGCTGTATGTCAGGAACAAATTAAAACGGATTAAAAATATTTAAAACGAAAGTTAAAATTACATCGTGACCACTTGATTCTGCACTATAGTTGCTATTTCTTCGCCATGTTATTGCAGCTCCTGATGAAGATGGCAAAGTCCATTGAAAGCTAGAGATTAATAAAGTATAAAGCTCTTTGCTTGAATTTTGTCGAAGTACCCAACAAAGGGCGGAAGATTTATTTTTCCCCAAACTGGTCTAGACGACAATGACCATGTCTCAAGTAATATATATAGGTGAAAAATTAAAGCTTCCGCCTTTTGTTGGGTACTTCGACAAAATTTAAGCAAGAAGGACTCTTTATACTTTTTTTATTCTCTCTAGCTAAAAAAAGTATACAATCATTTTGCACCATAGTTGCTATTTCTTCTAAATGTTATTGCAGCTCCTGATGAAGATGGCAAAGTCCATTGAAAGCTAGAGATTAATAAAGTATAGAGAGTCCTCCTTGCTTAAATTTTGTCGAAGTACCCTACAAAAGGCGGAAGCTTTAATTTTTCACCTAACTGGTCTAGACGGCAATGACCACGTCTCAAGTCTCAAAATATATATATAAGTTCCTTTTGCAGACCCTCGGTGGCCTTTCGTTTCCAATGATCCAGTAGGCTTTGAAAGCAATTTCACACTGGGACAGCTGAATGATTTAGTGGCCAGTTACATCTATTTATGAATCCCCATTAGGTCGTCTAAGTGCGTCTAATAATTATGGAAGTTCTAAATTGAAATGGCTGTAATTGTAACTTTGATGGGTACTTAATGAATTATTACTTGATCATTAAGATTACGCACGTAAGTGGTCAATATAGTGCCGATGTACCGTTGCAAGCATTTTGGATTTCTCACTGTCAAAACGTGACGACAAATGACAGCTGATTATTCAGTGATGCTTATTTACTTTACAGTGACACCGTAGCTCTTATAGCGGCTGTTTTCGGCTAGTTTATGTATATAATCAAAACGATCTAGCTGCTAATGATCATAGCTACATTTCAAGAATCAGAGACATTTTCGCCATTTGGTGATAAAACTTCTAATGCTCAACTAAATGTCAAAAAATTCACCAAGTTCGATATTCCAACATTTTATAACCATATATCAGAGAACAGAAATTTTGGCTGCAGTTCTTTCGTAATGAAAAAACTATGGATAAAGATGGCCGTGGTCTGAATTATTAGCCCATACACACGCCTGATTATTTAAGTGATCAAATTAAAGCTTTACTGACAAATAACAAAAGCTGCATCGCGTGGTCTCAGCCATTCCGTTCAACGTTTCGTAAGTCGGCAACGAAAAAAAATATACCTGAATATTGAAATATCCGCTTATTTCACAGGCGAAAATATTAATTTTTAATGCTCACGACCATACACAGAATGATTTATTAATGTGTTTTGAAACACGAAATGGACTTCGTATTATTGCAGGCAAGCAAATAGCACCTCAGCACTATTTATCACGGCAGACTTTTTCGTTCGTTTCCAAGTGAACGTCGTCTGCAATCCATAGGCGTCGATGACGAAATTTACTGAAGGTACGTTTCCGTTGCAAGAAATTTGCTCCGCCATATACCAGCAAATTCGGCTGGGCCATTCTCAAGATTCTGCACATTTTACCATCTAGACGTATTCTTCACCTTATTCAAAATTTGTATTTGACATTTGATGAGTGACAGGGCTCTCGGTTATGTGATATCGAGAAATGGTCGCCGGAATATAATTTACCCCTCGAATTCAGATTAGGTAGACAAAACATTCCGGCAAAAATTATACTATTTTCTACAATTGTTCTTCAAATAAAATAAAAATCAATGAACGTGTGTACTGCGTGAGATTTTTGATACTCACCGTTTAGTTATAGTGTCGGTTATCCAATATGAAGATAGTCCAAAGATATCGAAACCTGAAAAAAAAAAACTTCAGTTATATTCTAATAAAGAAACATGTAATATAAGAAAGAAAAGATGCATATAAGTATCTTAAGTGGCAATACATTTTTTACATTCGTGTTACTATTTCTGTCCTGTTTGAAACCTCTTCAATTATAGAAACAGAATCTACTGAATACCAAATTTTTCCAAATTCAGATTCAGTAGATTTCATGAAAATGCGTTTATAGTAACTTATGATTCACTTTTTCTGTACGTATATGATTGTGTCCTTATCGCTTCCATCGAGTAATTTTGATCCTCGAAGCAAAATCATATAAAAAGACACACATGCACTATATGGCAACAAAAACCCCATTTTTACAATCTAATCTATTACTCTTTAAAGCAACATATTTTCTTGGGAGATGTCAATATAAATATTTTGGACGATGATCCCATCACAAATGAATACTTGAATATCCTATCAAGTAACGGATTTCTGTCCTATATAAACCTACCTACAAGGTCCATCAGTGGCACATGTATAGATCGCTGCTTTGTGAAAGACCTATCCAACAAAATTACTTGTATACCAATAATCCTAGAAAGCGATATTACTGACCACTTCTCCACTATTTTACTGATATCTTCAAATGAAAAACATTCTAACATCCCTACCGTTAGTAACAACCAGGAAAATTACAAATTTTTTGTCGACAATTCAAAACTAATATCAAATGTCAAACAAGAATCCTAGGAACAATTATACTCTATAAATAATATAGACAAAGCAACGGGACTGTTCATAGAGAAACTAAAAAAACTAATAGATATTAGTACCAATAAAGTAATAATTAGTCACAAAGAGAAAAGCAGAAATGCCTGGATTACCAAAGGATGAATAACATCGGCAATAGAAAAAGAAAGACTATATAATGTAATGAAACTAACGCCAACTACAGAGAATACCGACTGCTACAACCAATATAAAAATAAATTTATAGAGCTTGTAAGGCAAACCAAACGAAAACATTACCTAAATAAATTGAATAATAACTTAAATGATCCTAAGCGGCTTTGGACAACTATTGATGAGATTACTGGGAAAACAAAAGTTAAAGAGTGTGTCACTGAGTTAAATACAACATCGGGAACAGTATTAAAAAATACTCAACAGATATGCGATGAAATTGTACAATTCTTTACTGACATAGGCGAAAATTTAGCAAGTAATATACAAGCAAATATACAAAATACTCAGCCTCCAAAAAGAACTTTGAACTCATTTATTTTGGATAAAGTCGAGCAATGTGAAGTATACACCACTGTTATGTCCTTAAAAAATCGGAAAAGTCCTGGGTTCGATGGTATTAAAAGCGAGCATTTGAAAATTATAGCCGAGGACATAACAGAACCACTCACTTACCTAATCAACAAATGCTTTGAATCTGGCATATATCCCTCAATTTTAAAAAAAGGTAATATAATACCGATACATAAATCAGGAACAAAAACAGATGTTAACAACTATAGACCAAAATCAATAATATCCAGTGTAGCAAAGGTTTTTGAAAAAGTTTTATCTACTAGAATGATTCGATACCTCACAAAATTCAAAATTTTAAGTGAAAATCAATATGGATTTACAGAAGGGAAGGCTACATCGGACGCAATAACTAAAATTGTAAATCAGATACATCAAAATATGGATAACAGAATCCCTTCAATTTGCATTTTTGTTGATTTAAAGAAAGCTTTCGACACAGTTAATCACAAATTATTATTAGAAGCATTGGAGAGAATTGGTTTCAGAGGAAACGCGTACTCACTGATCGAAAGTTATTTGTCAAATCGCCCACAATCTGTGCAGATATCAGGATCATTTAGTAAAGAAATGTATATAAAGTGTGGTGTCCCACAAGGAACTGTCTTAGGTCCGCTGTTATTCAATATATATTTAAATGATATTTTCCAAATTAATTGTGTCGGCAAAATAACTAGTTTTGCAGATGATACTGCAATATTATATGAAGGCACTGACTGGTCTGATCTGAAAAATGTAATTGAAAATGATTTTATCAAAATTATTCGGTGGTTTAACAGTAGAAAATTAAGCATTAACTACTCTAAAACACATTTTTTACCATTTGGATCTTATGCTAGACATCTGCCAAATTACACAAATTTCTCCTTCAATATTAATGATCAAAAAATGCAAATTAATAGAGTGCCCAACATAAAATACCTTGGAGTGGTCTTGGATCCTCACTTACGATGGGACATCCATGTCAATTATATTTTAAAGAAAGTTAGATTTGTATCCTACAAAATTAAATACCTTGGGAATATATTGACAGAAAAATATCTTCGAACATTATACCATGCACTGATTGAGCCTCATCTCACATATGGTATATTAGCATGGGGAGCTGCATGTTCCTCACATATCTATAATTTAGATGTTTTTCAAAAAAGTATTCTAAAAATGATATTTAAAAAACCGAAACTTTATCCCACTGAAAAATTATACGCTGATGTTCGAATGTATGATATAAGACAGCTTTATTTCTTACACAGTATCACTCACTACCATAAATTTATAAACACCGACCAAAAAATTAAACATAATCATTATACCAGATACAAAATTCGTGGCACAGTAGTTCTTCAACCGCATAAATCTATAATGCAGCGATCATATCTCTATTTAGCGCCTAAATTTTATGAAATTATACCTAAAGACTTAAAAGATTTACGTTTCGGAAATTGTTTCAAAAGAAATTTAAAAAAGTGGCTACATTCTATATCTAGGACTGAAATTCATAAACTCATAAATACGAACATCAACTAAATACATAATCTACTGTAGCTACTTTTTGTCCTTTTTTGTCATTTGCATTCTACAGTTTCAACTTAAATTTATTGGTCCATGTTCAGGCGATGCCTTCTATTGGGCCTGTTTTGATTTTATATTTATTTACTCATATTGTTTGTTATCTTTGTACATTGAGTGAATAAATATTATTATATTATTATTATTATTATTACTCTTGCACTAAGTTATTACAAAACTTGTAGCTAATGCATGGAAAATTATAACCATTTTGACCGGACTATTACTCCGCGCTATTAATTGTGTGGCTCACTGCTTCTGCCGTCTGGTCGGGTATTTATTCGCTTATCGACGGGTCGAGAATGGTTTCAGCGTTTTCCGGCCGAGCCACGAACTTCCAAGGAACTGATCTAGATGGCAGCAGATTTATCTTTAGACGTGTCGAATATTCGCAATGTTATCGGTAACGGTCTAGAACGCGAACGCGCTCCATACCGGGTCAAGCAACTCTGGTTGTCTAAACGTCAATGTTGTGAGGTCGTCGTGTCTCCACGACACTACAATATTAAGCTAAGAATAACGCGACTTTGACACGTTTGTAAAACTCAGTTCTTAGAATTGCGATTTTCATTTGAAAGGATCAATGTTCCGATAATTTTCATTTTAAGAAGTAGGACCCTTGACACAAGAAATTTCTAAGATGTTATCATTAAGTATAATATATGGTAGTGACAATATAGAATCTCCAAATAAAGGAACTACTTTGCTGGCTGCTTCTGCCGTCTGGTCGGGTATTTATTCCCCTATCGACGAGTCGAGAATGGTGTTACCATTAATTATAATATATGATAGTGACAGTATAGAATCTCCAAATGAAGTAACTACTTTGGAATAAGAGTAAATAAGTACGGGGACTTTGATCGGATGGCTAACGGGAAGGAAAAAACCCTTGCTTTCAAAATGAATTACAAAGAACTCGATTTTTTTATTTAAGAGAACCGTTCTTTTAACAGTAAAATTACTTCATTCCAAAGACCCGTGAATGCGACTCAAGGTTATGACTTCAAAGAGATTTGTTGCCTGAACCGATTATAAACTGATAAATTTTTAAGTACATCTTTAATTTTATTCAGTAATTAGTCTAATTTAATAATTATTTTAAAATATGAGGAAGACTGTCAAGCAGTAGAATGTGTCCTTAGAACAACGCATGTGGGTACGATTTTTTTATAGACAGGAAGACATTAGTCATGTGTACTAAGGAAATACTGTTTCCTCTCTTGTCAGCATGGTATTTGAGTCATACCAAGTGTGTAACCGTCAAATAGCGTCTCACCTCATTACCAGATTCCGAACACATGGTCTGCTAACATGTGACCAGACATACCACACTTGTCTGATGAATATGCCCTGTTCAAGAAACATCTCTTAGGTTAAAAAATGCATTAACAGGCTAGGTTTTTTTTTGCAAAAAGACTGTCTGCTTTCAAAACAAAAAAAGCATAATTATATTCACGAGCATTAAGATAGATTAAATTGTCACATTAGCGCGTGTTTTGACAAAGCTGGAATTGAAATTTTGTTACTGAGACACCTCCACATAATTTACAATTGCTCTCATGAGAAATTTGACATGTTTCCCCATTATTTCGATTTCAATTAAAAACATATTAATAAAAATATAAAAAAACGGACACAAAAAGTTTATAAGGCATACAATCTTAAAATTTTCAGGAAATCAGCTGTCTCGCGTTTAAATAGATGACTTGAAAGCTGACGAATATGTGGTTCCTGTTGCATTACTTGTTTCCAATATTATTTGACTTTGTGAAAAACAATTACAGCAGCAGTAGCGTTAAAATATTACTGCAAAATTGGAAAGTATGTACGGTTCACGTAGAGTCGGATTTTTTTTGTTGCGATTTGTGAAATGTTTTATCTCTGACTGAAACGCTAGTTCTCTAAGTGCATCTACATAAAAGTAAATCTAACTGAAATTATATAATTAAGAGTGCTTTATAGTGATTTTAACAGTCATTTCGAGAAAGTAAATTCCTAAGGTACCTCGACGAACATGTAGATTGTGGCTTCTGTTCGTATGTAAATTTATATTATTAGGTACTACTGGATTGACTTGCAAAGTTAACTGAGTGATAATTCCATTTCGCTTGAAGGTAGGATGTAATACACTAGCACCTT